ACATTATGTTGTTTTTATGTTCATAAAACTCTTTATGTTTAGTCACTCTGAGCTCTTGATGTATTGTTTCTGATTGATATAAGTTATTCTGTTGCATGTTTCTTTATATTATGTTGTTTTGTAATAAAGATGACAGAATTTGTCCTTGATAAGGGCATTATTGTTGGACCATTAAGAATTATTATAGATTGTTCTGAGTATAGAATTTGTAAAGTGATACATGGAAGGGAATATGTTGATTTAATAACATATGACCGCCATGATCCTTATAGGTTCCTACTTTATAATGTTTATATCTTGACCATTTAAGATATGACATTTAATTAATTATTATTGTGTACACATTATGTTTAATTACTAAGCTGTAAAGTTTTATTTTTATGACACATGGACCAAATGGGAGAATGTTATAATTATTTATAATTCTTATAAAGTGGTTCATGTGAATTAAATATAATATAAGGTTTAGTAATAATTAATTTAATTGAAGGGCATATTGGTCTTTAACCTTTGATGGAAAGGTTACATCAGTTAATAAAATAACTGATGTTTGCAGTTAATTAAATAACTGCAATATAAAAGGTGGGTCCTCTCTCTATTACCAATGTATGCTAAAAATTTTCTCTGTCCATCAAGAGAGTTTGCAATTACAAAAGGGAACAAAGGGAAAGAAACGCTGCCTATTTTGATTCAATCAAGATCAAATTTTAATTTTCAAGCTATAAAATCAGATATGTATTTCTTTTATATATATGTGAAAATTCATCAAGTTTCAAGATCCTATAATTTTATATTTGTGCAACTTAGGGCATAGAAACATGAATTGATTATTGATTATTTGCTTTTGATGAGTTTGCTTTTAAGTTTGCATTTTCAACCAAATTAAGAAATAATTTATATAATTGTCTTTTTCTTTTTGGGTTTTATGTTAACTATATTTTGCTAAGGACATTTTTATTTAATTGAGGTAAGTCAAGACTTATAAATTAATCAAAGTTTGTGCGATGACGACGACATAGTAACGATAAATTTGGTTCAATTTTTTTGTTTTTTTTTTTAATTAAGAAACTTTAATTATTTATATATGTAGTTGAAAAATTCTTAGTCATTTTGGAATTAAATTACTTGTCAAGAATATTCTTAAGCATGAACCGAATTAATCATACAAATTAAACAAATAACAATATAGACCAAGTAAAAGTCAAAATAAATTTATAAATTGATAGAAAGTATATTTAGAATAAGTTGATTCATGAACTCAATTATATAACGTATTGTCATTTGTCAAAACATGATATAAGCTAATGGGATGCCATTATCATGCCCAAATTTTATTTATTATTTTGTCAAATACATTATAAAAAACTAAAGGCCTTGAACACAATGGATACATCATATAATTTTTATATATATTTATTATGATTATTTATTTTAAAAGTCAACATGAAATATGAATTTATATATAAACTATCTTTCTCAACCAAACGATTAAGGGAAGATTTATATGATTTTACAAAACCATTTTAAATTTCCTCATATTTATTGATTTAAATTATTTTAGAATAAATTTTGTCCACCACTATACAAAGAGATAACGTGTTTATCTAACAAACAGTAATGTTACAGTTACTGACGGGTGTGTACCGAATTTGTGCACTGAATGACATGGTAAAATCCTGACCGTTGATTTATTATCAGTTAATATTAATCAACGGTTAGGATTTTGTCACGTCATTCGATGCACAAATTCGGTATAAACTTTTCGATAACTCTATCATTTTCCATCTAACAAAACCCCCATTTTAAATAGAGGATAATATCTTTTAACTTAAATTACTGACCTAAAACTAAACTTTAGTATCTAACCCTCTATTTCAATCCATCAAACAATTAGATAATTGTTGAAATGACATTAAAACCTAACTTAAAATCTGGGATGACATTCAAATTAATTTACAATTATGATTTAACATGTTTGTAAAATACTTAGAGTATTTAATTATAAATACTCTAAATATTACCAAAAATGTTTGTAAAATATAGAAAATAAGCGTTAAATAGTGGTATTTAATTATTTTTAAAATGGTTAAGTATTTATATATAAATTTGGGAAAATCTATATGATTGCTTGTCTTATTCAAATGAAAAATAATAATAAAGTTTAAAACTCTTTTGTTTCTACACAAAAAGAATCTCCGTGTTACATGTGTGTACTTTGTCACTTTCTTTATTATTTATTATTTTATAAATAAATAATAAAAATTAAAAGAGAAAAAATAATTATGTAGGAGGAGGAACATTAATCGTGAACAATTGAAAGAAGAATGAACATATCAAAATTATGAAAGTTTGAGCCAAAAGTGTCGGTGGATAAAATAATTTTTATAATTATTTTATTTATTTTATAATTCCTCTTACCAAATAAAGTCCACAAGTTTATCCGCTACACGTGGACCCACTCACTGTCGGTAGATGTAACGTGTATTGTTTTTATAATAATTTTATTATAAATAAACATTAAATAAAGCCAATTCTATAAACTTATCATAATCCGTTGGTCAAAACTAATCCCACGTAACATTAAGTTATGAGTTTGAACTATGAGAGTTAATGAAACAAAAAATAAAAAATTATTATACACACTCCTACTTCAAACGATAATTGTACTTTATTTATAAATTTTGATTACGACTAAAGTTAACGAAGACAAAAAACCTTTAAACTACAGCTATACTTATTATCTATTGATGAGTAAAGGTTGGTGACACTAATAAAAAATTATTCTTTAATTTGTCCTTGCTTTTGATCAAGGATAAGTGAAAGTTAAAATTCGAAGATTTATAAGTAATTGACTGAAGATGGTATTGTATTCCCCGTACCTGCCTTCGCTTCCAAACGTTTAGAGTTGGGGCCAGGGTTGAAGGGGCGACATCATTAGGGTTAAGAGATGAAGGTCCTCAGCCTTGACCCCCACCCCATTTTTAGTGTGTGATTGAGTTTGGACTAAGAAAGCAAAGAGCAAAATAAATAAGGTTACAGACATAATATATTATTTAAATTAATAAAAAAATACTAATTTTATTGAAAAACACAAACTTAGTAAGTAGTAACTCCATTAGAAGGAATAAGTTAGCAAAGCAATAATTAGCAGAAAACGACAAGTCGACTGTCTACACCACAAGTCTTTGACAATGTAGTACAAAAAACAGTACAGCAGAGGGCCCACTATTAGAAAATCCAAAGAAAATAAATGAGGCCCAATATGGCCCATCTAGAGAACCTTATTGTCGGCAAGCAAAGCGAGAGATAAATCCCATGGACTGTGCCAACTTTACAGCCTGGATCACAAGATCTTTTGACCAAAAGTTTTCAGTGAATCTAACGGCTTCCGCTTGACTTTATCTGTGCTTCATCACAAACGGTGGGTCCCTATTCGAACCGTATGTCACGGTTCTGTACGCTGTCGTTTTCACGCTTAGCTGTCTCGTACCACTTTCTTTCTAGGTTAAGAGGTATTGGTCGTCCTCTTTTATCAATCAATAAGTGCTCTTTGATCACAACAATAAATAATTTGTTATCCAATTTAAGCAAAAATTGTAGGTTTTAATTTCATTCATTTTGTATTAATATTTTTTTTTTAAATTATTAAAAATAATTTGAGATTTTCAAAACCCCCCTTCAATTCTCAAATTCCTATAAAGAATCAAAAATAACAAAAAAATACTCTAATACAGAGAACCACCCTTAGACAGTGAGTGATAGGATAAATATTATTAGATCTATTATTCAAAAGGTTTTATGTTGAATCATTTATTATTAGGAATATACCAGATCGTTAACTTCATAATCTTAGAGGATTAGTTGAACTTGCACAAACTGGTCCGAACACCCTAATTCTAGTTAGTGGTGAATTCTCTATTATTACTATATCAATCTACTACTCATATATTAGAATTGATTCATAGGATTAAAAATTAAAGACGGGTGCGTTTGGTTCAATATTTTCTATCCATATTCCTAATCCTATTTCCCAAATATTGTTTGGCATATTATTCCATAAATATTAGTGTATTTTTTAAATTATTTTTAGACCCTTTAAGTTTATTAATTTCACTAAATAACCCCAGAAAAAAGTTTAAAAATTCACAAAAACACCCCCACTCACCCATACTTGCCAGATTCCAGCAACCACCGTCGGTGATAGCCGGAATCTGTCACAACAGTAAATAACCAACCGAAAGTGGTCGGTTATTAACCGTTGATGGCCAAAGAAATGATCGTCGTTGATGGTCAACAACGGCCAAAGATGCACCTTTGCCGCCGTCAAAGACCACATTCGACCGTAGATCTGACCTTTTCCGGAAAAAGTCATATTGACGCATTACGACACAAATCTGACCGTTATGTGTCGTAAATTAATTTTTCAACCAGATTCTGACAATGGTGGTCGAAAACTGGCACTGCAGGTGGTGAGGGTATTTTTGTCATTTTATATATTAGAGTGTTTAATTAAATTGATAAACTTAAGAGTTTTTTTATAAATTTACAAATTTTACCTTGTAATACTCCCTTATTCAACTAATTAATATTATTCCCAAAATCCTATCAAAAATAATAACCAAACAAACATGTATACTGTATAATAAGATGGTGCATTGTTATTGGACCAACACATGAGAAACTTGATAAAAGATAATCCATGAAGGAAATAATGAAGCAATGATTAAAAGTAGGAAAATTGAGAGACTTGAAAGCTAAAACGTTTTTGTTGGGCCAAATCAAAGTTGACGGCTTGAAGCTTTTTCTTTACTTACACAAAACAAAGAGAAATAAAAACAAAAATAGAAATTTAAAAAAAAAAACTACTAAGAAAGTAAGAAGGGAGTATTACATTTCACCTCTCCCCCAAGAAAAGAATAATTTGTTCTTTTTTTTTTTTTTTTCCTTTTTGTTCTAGGCTTTCTTTCCCATCCTTTCTTTTTTTCTTTTTTTCCAGGAAATAAAACCAAACCTTCTAAAAATTTCCAAAAATAAAAATTTAATTTACACGTTTGCCGTGATGGTAGCCGTAATATTGAAGATACCATCTAACAAATTTTTTCAACCCGGTTTGTAAATCCGTTGTCGGTCTATACCCGAAAGCTTTCTGGGCTGCACTTATATTCGCATGAGTGAACGGAACGTCGCCGTTTCCGGGCATCTCGATTATTTTCTTCTTCGCTTTCATCTTCAAATGCCTCTCCAGTATGTTCACAAGCTTAGGTACCGTTACCGGTGAAGTATTACCCAAATTAAATACCCGGTACGGTGCAGGCCCCCGTTTCTTTCCGCCCGACCCGGTGCTCTTACCCGAAGTATCCAATGACCCCAAACAACCTTTCACTACGTCGTCAATGTAAGTAAAATCTCGTGCCAAATCAACGTGGTTTTTCCCGCGATATACCGTGATAGGTTTGCCTTGAAGGATGTTTCTCGTGAACGAGAAATAAGCCATATCGGGTCGGCCCCAGGGACCATAGACGGTGAAAAATCTTAACCCGGTAATTGAAAGTCCGTAAATGTGGTTATAAGTGTGGGTTATTTCTTCACCCGCTTTTTTCGTAGCCGCGTACAGACTCGCGGGCTGGTCCGTCCGATCAGATTCGGAGAAGGGGACTTTCTCGTTTAAGCCGTAGACTGAGCTGGATGAGGCCCACACAATGGACGGCTGAGGATTGGCTGATTTACAAGCCTCGAGAAGCGTGACGAGACCCGCGATGTTGCTATGAACGTACGAGTGGGGATTCTCCATGGCGTATCTGACGCCGGCTTGAGCCGCTAAATGCATCACGTGCGTGAAAGCCACGGTGTCAAAGAGCTTAGCCAAGAGTTTTGCGTCATTGATATCGCCTTCAACTACGAAAATGCCATGGCTATTCAACAGAGCTTTACGCGCCATCTTTAACGAAGGGTCGTAGTAGTTGTTGAAATTGTCAAGTCCAACGACACCGTCTCCGCGTTTCTTTAAAGCCAACGCCACGTGTGTACCAACGAAACCCGCTGAACCGGTAACCAGCACCAACATCCCACCGGACCGATGGATCTGAGCAGAGTTCCTCACTTGTTTCTCCCACTGGATTCCTCCCCACGAAGCCGAGAAATACCGACTACCTGAATCCACAAAACTCTGAAAACTCAAATACGACGCCGTTAAAGCAACCAAAAACAACGCCCACAAGAACATAGTACTCGTCGAAGCGAAACACCGGTGAAACTGCCGGTTCATCGTGTGACTCCTGTCGATCTTAAATTTCCCAGGCGTCGACGGGAACAACTCCTCCTCTAACGACGGCATTCTAATCAAAATTTAACGAGTCTTTTCCGTTTTGGGGTGAATTTACAAGAGAAGGAAAAAGATGAAAAGAAAAGATGGGTGTTTTGTGAGAGATTGAAAAGTACAGATGCAGAGAAAATCAAGGGGACTGCATCTGCTAAGAGAATGTAAAGGATAGGCAAGATTAAATATAGTGGTAACCCACAGAGAAGCCAACAAGTAGACGCGTGAACGCGTTAAAGGACGGCCAGATTGGGGGACAGAGAATAGAATAATTTTTTTTTTTCTTTTTATGAATAACCAATATAACTGTTTACTACTCATAGTATTATTACAATTTTATTAGACAGATAAGAACTGTTAATTAAGTTTAATCAACATAATTAACTATCTTTTTTAGCATTTTTGTATTAGACTGTTAAAAGTGTTTTAGTGTGTGAAAATTCTATAATTTTCGGTGTCCTCTTTCGACTTTTCACATTTTTAAAAATTCCCCAGTGAGGCTTTGCACTATCATTACAATGAAATAATTAAAAATTATTTTTAATTATTGGTTTCCCTTTCGTAATTAGCAAGGTATTAAACGAATTTTAAATACATCATAATTATACATATTTTTTGTATTTAAATTAAATTAAAAAATGTGGGGTTATTTTGATAATGACGAGAACATGGAGGGCCATACCAGAGAACATTAACTGGTTGATGAAATTGGAAAACTATGTGCTTTGGAATAATAATAAAAAATGTTAGTTCTACTCGTACCGGACTACCGGGAGAACCGGTCGTGACTGAAGCACGAATTGTAGATAGTTGATCGATAGAGACTAATTAAGAAAAACCGGCGTGTCCGGTGGAAACGGCTACTGTTCCTTGGCTTGCCACATGGGCATTGGGCGGTGCTCCTTCAATTCTCTTAACTCTTATATAATTATTTTATTGTTCTTTTTTAGGTGCTTTCTTTGACTCGTCCACATTACCTTTTATATATTCTTTATTTAAGAATATTTTCCTGTCTATTTATTTTTTCTGTAAGAAAAATACTTAAAATGCTTTTATATTTTTTAAAATTCAAAATTTTAGTGATATTTTAAGTTGATTTTATAGAGAAAAAAAAAAAACAAATTTCTTTACAATACACTCTAAAGCTTGATTATATATCTACTTATGGATAAAAATCTTTTTATTTTTCATTCTAAATTAACTTTTCTATATTACAAAAAGGTGAAAATATTAAATAATTATTAAAAGTAATACTTCTAATATTTTCATTAAAATTCCTTAATTTTAAAAATAAATAAATTCATCCTTATATATACTGTATATTTTTTTCTTCAAGATAAATATGTCAACGGCATGTAATTTCAAAATTGACGATTTTGATTATTGAATTATTTTCTTAAAAGTATAAGTTAAGATGATAAAAATACCAAATTAATAAAATTCATAATCAAATTCTGTTTTATATAGTCTTAATATAATAAAATACAAATAATAAAATTACTTATAGCAAAATCAATTAATTAGGTATATTAATTAAAATAATAAATATATATAATTTAAATCTAAAATTTATGTAATAATTTCAAAGTTAGTAGTGGTAGTGGGATTTCTTTGTTTCTTTTCTTTCCTTAGATTCATAATAGTAGTGGGATCCACATAAAAATTAAATCTTTATATTTAAATAAAAAATTAAAACAAATAAAAATTATTTATTGCAAAATTTGCTGGCAGATCACAAAGACATGATCTCACTCTAGTATTTGTCTCCGCTTCTGCCTCCTGGAAACTTCCACGACACGCTTGAGTCTTCATTAATCACGCCTTTAATTAATCTTAATTAATTCTAACTAATCTTAATTACTGTTTATAATACATTCATTATTCACACTAATCACATGCGCTGATTTGTGCATTGTACTGAGATATCGGAGGAATCCGGACGGTTCATTATAGATCGGAATCATGATCCGATGGACCATATTTAATGTAATTAAATGAGTTAAGATGGGAATCCGGTTGAGATTTTTTAGGTTCCTAGTTACATTCAATGTTGGATTATTATCCGAAAATAAATTTGTAATTTGTAATTTAAATATTTAAAAACATGATTGACATAACATCTAAAATGCATAAAATATTTTAAAATGTGTTTAATATATTATCTAATTCTATTATCTGATTTTAAAAAATTAGGATTTCTTCCATTGATGTCGTTTAAATCAAATTGTAAGTGTCATATATATTTATTTTTATTTAATTAGGATTCTTTTGGTTTATATTTTTATTATCATTATGATTTCTATTANTATATTTAAATAAAAAATTAAAACAAATAAAAATTATTTATTGCAAAATTTGCTGGCAGATCACAAAGACATGATCTCACTCTAGTATTTGTCTCCGCTTCTGCCTCCTGGAAACTTCCACGTCACGCTTCAGTCTTCATTAATCACGCCTTTAATTAATCTTAATTAATTCTAACTAATCTTAATTACTGTTTATAATACATTCATTATTCACACTAATCACATGCGCTGATTTGTGCAGTGTACTGAGATATCGGAGGAATCTGGACGGTTCATTGTAGATCGGAATCATGATCCGATGGACCATATTTAATGTAATTAAATGAGTTAAGATGGGAATCCGGTTGAGATTTTCTAGGTTCCTAGTTACATTCAACGTTGGATTATTATCCGAAAATAAATTTGTAATTTTAAATTTAAATATTTAAAAACATGATTGATATAACATCTAAAATGCATAAAATATTTTAAAATGTGTTTAATATATTATCTAATTCTATTATCTGATTTTAAAAAATTAGGATTTCTTCCATTGATGTCGTTTAAATCAAATTGTAAGTGTCATATATATTTATTTTTATTTAATTAGGATTCTTTTGGTTTATATTTTTATTATCATTATGATTTCTATTATGTTTTTGGTTTGATGGTTTTTACATTATTATGATTTGTTATATACCACAACAAAATTGTCTATTTCTCATAGGTAAAATTCCTCGAAAATGCCATTTACCTCGAAAGTCACCATTGATTCTCTTGTCGATAGGGTGCGTTTGACACATTATTTCTACCCATATTCCCAATCCTATTCCTCAAATATTGTTTAGCACATTATTTGAGAAATATTTGTATATTTTTTTAATTATTTTTAGACCCCTTAAGTTTATTAATTTCATAATACCCCTAGAAAAAAAGTTTAAAAATTAACAAAAACACCCCCTAAACCCATACTTGCCAGATTCCGGCAACCATCGTCGGTGGTAGCCGGAATTTATCACAACGGCCTACACTACGACTGAAACTGCCCGGTAATTCATCGATCTGGTCTTTTCCGGTCAAATCCACAATGAATCTGGCTGGAAAATGCCAGATCTAGCCGTCAGCGACGGCCAAAGAAATAGTCATCATTGACCGACAACGACGGCCATATCTTTGGCCGTCAGATGGACTTTTATGACCGTCAACAGCCAGATCTGGCTTATTCCGACCAGATTCGTGGTGGATCTGGCAAGAAAATGCCATATCGACGCCCTACCCGCCAGATTTGACCGGTCTGTGTCGTAACGCAATTTTTCGGCAAGATTCCAGCGGTGGTGGCCGGAATCTGGCACTGCAAGTGGTGGGGGTGTTTTTGTCATTTTACACAAATTTTATATATTGGGGCGTTTAGTTAAATTAGCAAACCTAGGGGGTTTGTTATAAATTTTTAAATTTTACCTTGTAATACTCCCCTATTCAACTACCCAATATTATTCTCAAAATCATATCCAAAATAATAAAACAAACGGACCCTATAAATTATTATTTTTTTTTTTTTGTAACCGAGGTGTTCGGGCTAGCTTGCATACACCTTAATTAATCATTGTAGTCCATTGAACACTCTACAAGCTCAAAGGACCGGATAAAAACATTGTGGTGGGTGACCCAAAGGTTTAAACGCAGAAACTCACCAAAAGAAATAGATCTCCTTGACCGCCAAGGTTTGATTGGCACTTAGAAGGAATTTTTTTTTTTTTTTTTTTTTTTTTCTCAAGAGCTGGAAAGTAAAAACCAAGAAATAACAGTATTGTTCAAAAAGTGTAATCAAATTTCTAAGTGGATATATTATTTGAAATACCGTCGAAAATGTATAACCAAAATTAAAACAATAGTACTATTCTTCCTAAAACCTATTAGAAATTTAATATCTCAAATAAGTTGTGTCAAATGATATGACAATGCTCATATGATAACACATGTAGAGATTTTGGTCATTCCTTAATTATAATTGACCTATTCAAATTGGAAAGTTCTTAATTAGTCTAATTTTTAATTATTCTAAATTCCCAATTGCATGATCTTCAAGTTGTGTAAGCTTCTGTCATTGTTGCTTCCACTATGGAGGCTAAGTTTGTGGCATGCTTTGAGGCCCATTTCAGGGATATGGTTGCGAAATTTTATTTCAGGACTTGGGATTGTCGATAGTATTGCCAAGCCGCTGAAAATTTATTGTGATAACTGCCCAGCAGTCTCTTTTCTAAAAACGCAAATATCAAAAGGTGCTAAACATAGAATTAAAATACTTTGCCGTTAAAGAAGAAGTTCAGAAACAAAGAGTGACTATTGAGCATATTAGCACCAATTTTATGATAACGATCCGTTGACTAAAGGGCTATCACCTAAGACCTTAATGAGCACGTTTGAAAGGATGGGTATTATTGCTCGTCATGATTGATTATAATGTATTTGTATATGTTCCTGACATTATGGTTGTTATATTAGGTTTGTTTTATGTACATAAGCTCTTATGTTAGTCACTATGAGGTCTTGATGTATGTTTTTTCTATCATATATAGTTATTCTGTTTGTATGTTTCTTTGTATTATTATTTTGTATACATGAATGATAAAGATGACATAATTTGTCCTTGATAAGGCATATTTTGGACCATTAAGAATTATTATAGATTGTTCTAAGTATATAGAATTTGTAAAATGATACATGGAAGGAATATGTTGATTTAATAGCATATGAATGCCATGATCCTTAGAGGTTCCTACTTTATAATGTTTTATCTTGACCATTTAAGATATGACCTTTATTAATTATTATTGTGTACACATTATGTTTAATTACTAAACTGTAAAGTTTTATTTTTATGACACATGGACCAAGTGGGAGA